TCCTTGCCGCTACTGCTCTACTTTTCTCGTGGCCTCCCGCGTCGGCGCTTGCCGCGTCGGTGTTTGGTGTATTTTTCCCATCCTGACCCATGGTCCAATTGGGCCGTCCGCAGGCGCCACCTGGCTATTTTTACTGTCTACCCCGTTCAGTTCAGGACTCCTCTGGGGCATCCCAGGTCCTTTCCGAATTTTCTCGTGTCACCCCCACTCCTTTTCATTTTGTCAGTGATTCTCCATCGACGCCCCGACTTTTTCCTGCTTTTTCGCTCATCTTAGTTCCCCCCCGTCATTTTCGGCTTCGCCCCGGGTGATGTTCCTGGTTTCCCTTGGTCCGTCTGGCGTCCTCGTCGTCCAATTGCCGGTTATTTCACCGACGTCTTCTGATACTTGGTTCTTCGTGGCCTCCTCATACTTGGTTCCGTCGACTGTTCTTGACACTTCCCTGTTCACAAGTTGCGTCTTCTACATTTGCGTATTCGTAGCCGTCTCTCCTGTTTTTGCCAGCTTCCCTCGTCGTTTTCTACCCGATAGGCCGCTCTCCGCAGACGGCCCGTCTTTTCCGCGTCTCGTCACTGCTCCCGATTTTCTCTGATGTGCACAAATCGGCCAAATCCAAGTTCTCGAGTGACGAAAATTCATTCGGGACCCACCGGTCCCGACACCGATCTCCCGTAATTGGTCCATCCTTCCCATCCTAAGATCCCTCATTGTTATCGCGCAGAAAATCACGCGGCACAGAAACCGGTTCGTCACAGGCCATTGCACAAACCCAATCCTAGACTATGTGTAGTAGCCCCCTGTCGCCCACCTAATTAAAGCGCAAGCAAACTTGAACTTCTTCCCCGCTGGGATTGCCTGCCTCCAATTCGTAGTTTGCGGTTGGATAAGGGGAGCAATTCGAGCGAGGATGTCATTCAACATCGGTCGAGGGAGTGTGACACGCAACCTCACGCCCTGTGCTGTCTTCCGTTCGGAGCACGAAGGATGCGGAAAGAAAGCCCAGAAAAACAGCAAGATGGGGTGTGCCAAGGATTCTTAGAAAATTGAGTGTGGGGACATAGACAGAACTGAAATCCCCCGTGTTGGCCCGATGAAGTAAGTCGGTTGCTTTCGCGGGTCACGGAATGCGCGTGCGGGCACGGCGCGAAAAAAGAAAAATCCAAATTCAATCCAAAAAGTATTGTCAAACTTCCCACCGCGCTACGGCTCTTCGTTTAGAGCGAAAGGGCTTCGGTACACTCCGCGTGTCCCGTTTCTGTATCAAGTCCCGATGTCCCTCGTTGGTCAGTTCCGAGTCCGACGTGGAGGGTCTCCTCCGCGTGGCTTTTTCCTCGTGCTCGTCTTCACTCCGTATTCGGTAGTGGAAGCCCTTTGATTCGTAGCGGTCGAAACGCTGGCACTCAGTGCACACAACAGAAAAAATTTGGAGAATTAAATAATCATTCTAGAGTAAAATTACATTCTAAATTTCAAATTTTCATTCCATCTTAAAAAATGTCATTCCAATTTTAAAATTTTTCGTCTCACTTGAAAACTTTCCTTCCAAGAATGGGGTATCCTTTCTTATTTGAACTACATGCTAGAGATGGAATGAAAGTCGAGATGAGTTCATGAAATATATTAATTGGACTGCCATTCTAAGTAAGGATTTCCAGTCATAAATAGGTTAATCCAATCTAAATTAGACTTTATTGTTGTAGTAGAATGAAAGTCTAATTAAAACATTTCATAAACTCGTCCAGACTTTCATTCCATCTTGAACAAATAGATGTAGTTGGAATGAAAAACTCATATTTAGACGGGAACTTATCAAATTAAATTGAAAATTTTAGAATTGGACAAATATTGGAATGATAATTTATAAATATGAAGGATTTTTTTTTTATGGAACGTTTTTTCGTCTTTCATTTCTCATGGGAATTTTTCTGTTGCAGGGTTCGAGGCCAATGGGGCGCCACTGCCGTCCACGGAATGACGATCAGCTCGTTAAATGGCAACAATACTGAGTAAGGCGGAAAGTGCGTATCGACAATGACAAAGTCCGCGTCCAGAACAACGATTTTCGGGAGGGAAGTAATATCGACCGCCGATCCTTGCGACAACTTCTCGTACGTCCCACTCGCAAACACGTGTCCTTTCCTCGTTATAAGGGAACAGACGCGTTGGCGTGGGAGACACGGGAGGCTGGCGCCCAATCCAGGTGCGCCCGTCAGTCCACATGTCAATCAATCGAAATGAGTTTGCAAAAACCCCGAGACGTCATCAAAAAGTACAATCGTAAAAACCAACTAATATTTTTCTTCCTTTCGACACGAGAGAAACATTTTACAGAGCTCGTACAACCATGCAGTAATCGGGTTGGAGTTTCGAGGGACCAACCCATTACTCAGGTTCAGCAGGCCAAATCGACGTAAATCCGAGGCACCTTGCTCTTTCAAGGCTGCCCCGCAAACCGGCTGCAGATGTCGTGCAGTATAAGGCAGATGGCATGCGTAGTGCATTCAGAACGACAAATCTAAACACTCTTGCATTCTCGAACAAGATCCCGTCGAGCTCTATGTCTAACCAAAACAAAATCCACATACAAGCATTTTCCTTTCTATGCATACATCCACTGTGGAAGGTGCGAAAATGACAATTGTGCATCAACTCCTTCCACAAATCAGAAACAAATCGGGGGATAGTACACACGCATCCACCGTTCACAAGACAAGATGATTGAGTTCCTTTGCATCCGGGGATTACCCAGGAAACTAATGGAAGAGTTCCGGAAGAAGTTCTTCTACGCAGGAAATCACAAGGATTCACTTCTGTTCACAGGAGAGACAGACTCATAACACATCGTCATTCAGATCAGAGAGAGAAAGGGGAGAGATGGACAAGAAATGTTGAGACAGGAGACACTAGGATCCGAAAAGAGAACGTTCGGCTTCGCAGTCGTGAACTCACACCAAAGGAAAATGATCCGCAACAGTGAAGGCGCATTCGCCGTGAAATTCTAATATGGCCCTGGGCCAATCATCCACTCAACTCCAATTACCGATCCTCATACCCACACCGACGATCCCGGTCGTCGCGTGCTAACTTCCCCCACTGCGATCGTTACCCCGCTGACGCAAGCTCGACACGGCTCGCCCGGATCCCACAGTCCGTCGTGGTGATCAAGCGCGCAACCGGCCAGCCTACAGTCAGCCCGTCAGGACTTTTCGACTCGCACCAAATGCATCACCTAGCCACTTCTTCCCGGAAGCTGGCTTGGGAGTTGAAAGCGTAAGAGAGATTAGCGGGCGCGCTTGCAGAATTTATAGTTGTGAGAAGGAAGACAGAAGAAAGAGAAGGCGGAGGGAAAATCGAGGTGTAGGAGGAGAAGATTCAGCGGGGGGTGCTCAAGGAAAACCATGTTGATCCTTCGGAACCCAATGTTCAGCCAATCAGATTCGTCGCACAATATGAAGATCCTCTTACTCAACGCGTTTGATTGGTGAGCGGGGGTAATCGAAGGATCAACAGGGTTTCGTGAGCCAAGGTTGAAGAGCGAGAAGGAAAGAGGCGCGAGAAGCAGCGTGAGACGGGTCTAAGATTCAGATGATCAAGAAAGGAAAACAGGCGCGCAAAGAGCAAAGATAGGGAAAACAGTTGCGATAGGAGAAGAAGAGGAGGGGGAAGGGAGGGAGAAGAGGGCACGGGGGAAGAATGACGTGGGAAATAAGGAGGAGGAAGCTCGCATGCGCGGCGCCGACAACAAGGGAAAAAAGCACCAAAACAGTTAAAGCTTGCCTATGTCCTAAACCAATTCAAAAATTGAAATCACCATATCCGTGCGCGAAAGTCGACGAGGGAAAAAGAAGTCCTATGCCTATCCGTATTCTCACAAAATTCTTAGAGTTTTCTCCGACATGACCGAGAACATTCATGCACAAAAAAAAGAACGCGTCGAGTTCCGCTTATTCCGGAATTCCTAACTGTCGAGCCCGATTCCTAGTGCGCTCGCTAAGGCGCACACAATTTCCTTTGCATTTCCCGAATTACAAAAAACAGAATTCCAAGAATCAATAGAACCTCTGAAAAATGGGGGCCCAAACAAGGCACCTGAAATCAAGAAAAGCGACGGGGGCTTTGTTGGGCCAGTATGATACAAAAGAAGGAATTGATTCAAGGGGTACAAAAGATAGCACAGGGTCAGGATGTGGTTCGTCACATATGTGACGCGCAAGGGGTTCCAAAACTATGCGATCTCCTGATTGCATGAAACCTCGAACAAAGGAAGTGAGAGGAGACGAAGAAGCAGGAAGAGGAGAAACTTAGATCAGCACAATCCAAGTCAGGAGAGAAAACTGAGTCGGGGTATGGGTTGGCGACAACATCAGTGTTAAGATCTCTGTGATGCATGCCAGCTCGTGCTGTTTCGGATCCCATTCTCTGTAGTCCAATCATATGAACCCCCTGCCCTTCAATCTTCGGAGATCGTCCAGGTGGCACCGTCATGGTCCACCAGGTCTCCGTGTGCTCTGCACTCCCAGTCCAGCGCAATCCGTCGAATCAGAGCATGTGTTGACGTCATCGTCAATGGCGTGATCTTCGCGAAACTGCTGATTCATGCTGCTCGGGGGACACGTGTCGATCTCTCCAATCGATCGCCGCGGAGAGCCTTCCATATGCCACTTACCGTGAGAAAGAGTGTGGATGTCATCCAGTGTGGCAAGCCTAATCACCTAATCCCTAGAACGGTAATTGACAAGAAGAGGGTGGGATGCGCCGCCGTCGTGACACGTGGCGGGTATCAGTGCCGCGTAAGGATGGGAAAGTATACATTGTACATGGAGGGGTGCCGACGGGGAGGGTTGGGGGGAAGCGGGGGTAAGTAGCAGTCCATCCCTTCCACTGTCACAAGAAGCTCCTCGTAGCGGATGATCCGGTGAAAGCGGGGAAATCGGTCGTCGCTGTGAGGGAGGGAGGCGAGGTAGTCAGGGTAGAGAGTGGAGAAAGCACAGAAGAGCGCCGCGCAAAATAGCTCGTGATTGCGGCATGCAGGGATGGTTCCTGTGATTACGCAGTAGACTTCTACCGCGTTGCTCTGCTCCCACGCGGCACTAAACAAAAGGACATGCAAACAGAAGACGGGGGTTGGGCATTGAAGGGAAGGATGGGGATGGACGGTGACGGCAAGGCGAGTGGACTAGAAGTGATGGAAGGTATTGGGAGGGAAGGGGTTGCGAGTGAAGGTGACGGGGATAGAGATTTAACGGAGGGTGAGGTAATCAAGGGGACGGCGGGATAATGACCGGGGACGAAGGCCGATCCCCCGCATCGATATGTGGACGAACTGGGGGACGGGCTGAGGTGGAGGGGGAGGGGGATCGGCTCCGTCTCCGTCGCGATGCGCTCGGAGTCATGGCCGCAGGGTTGCCATCTTCGGGCTTGGGGGGCTCCGGATCCCGGGTCAGGTCGTCGTTGATGCGCAGATTCGCCGCGCTGGCGAACTCCAGCTGCCTTTTCCCGGCGGCGATTTTTTCCCTCTTACGTGCCGCCTCGGGATCTTCCACCTTTGTGCCTGTGCGCGCCGCTTCTTCCGACAAGGCTTCCCACTCCGATCCGGCTTCCTTCTCTTGGTCGTCTTCTTCCTCCTCCTCCTTTACACTCTGCTCCCCTTCACTGTGCTCACTATGACTCCCTTCCTCCGACGTTTCTTCTTCGGCGTCGCCCTCTTCTTCAGTGGCTTCTTCTTGTCCTTCTCCTTCAACCGCCTCCTCGGACGTATCTTGCTTCGGATAGAAGGCAAGATTGATGATTCCGTACGGTTTCAAGTACTCCTGCTGTGACGGCAGGGCGCTTTCACTCCCTGGTTCCTCCAAACACGCAGTCCACTGAAGATACGGTGCCAATGTCCGCGTAAGGACGTGAGGAGCCGGATTCTCGTCACTTTGCGAAACGATATCAAGAGAGAGGTCGTCGACCAGTTGCGCGAGCGGGACGACGAGTTCCTGGGCAATTAGCTGGCGATGTCCCGGCCGCACCGAACCGAAGAGAAAACCGAGAAGATCGCCCTCTACGTCAGTTCTCCAGGCCTGGATAATCAACAGCTCCAGGTACTCAATCCACCCCTGATGCTCGTCGGTCCGCGTCCACGTCACCTTCACTCTGGCCAAGCACACAGACAGATCGACAAAAGTCTCGCGCCACACCCGCCAATGCCTGGGATCAAGGAGCGGGACTGCAAGGGGCTCGAGCAAGAAGGAAAGACGAGGATGAAGATCGGATTGCCAGAAGGTGGGGAAAAGAGAGGGAAGATCGAAGGTGGAGAGAGGAGCGAGAGGAGCGGCGCGGTTCATTGGGGGCGTTGGAAGGGGATGAGTGTGGGGAGCACAACTGCCGGCTGGCGCGTAGAGGTGCGGATCCCATCGAAGTCAGTCCCGTACGTCGGGACGAGGTTGTACTCGGGGCGCACAAGACCGTGATGCCACTCAGCCGATAACTGCTGCGACCACTCTCGTAATGAGGTCAGGATCGCGTCGGTATGTCGAAGCGAGATGACCGCGCTGATATCGCCGCTGAAGGCAGCGACCGTGGTGACGTGGCTCGTTCCTGGAGCTGCCCGCCGATGGAATGCCACCACCTCTGCCAATACTACTGCCTGCGGACTTCCTGCGAATCGGAACGCAGCGGCGGCACACACACCCTCGGTGCAGAAGAATTGCGCCAGTCGTTGAAGATCAGGACTGAGTCGTGGATGGCGAACTTGTCGGATCTCCGAGATGTAGCCACGTGGCTGCAGCAGATGATTGCCAAGGGCTTGCTCCGTGATGAAACTCATGGCGAGGACGGGGAAGAAGATGAGAGATGGGAACAAGAGGGAGAGAACGAGGCGGGGGCTAGATCGTCGCCGTCCTCGTTTTCAGCAGATGAGGGAGACGGAGGGAGATTAGAAGGAGGGAGGGGACGAGTATAAGAGGTATGGCAGACGATGGGGACAAAGCTATGGTTGGCGCTGGCCTCGGGCGCCATGCGCACCGTGTTGGCACCGTTGGGTCCGAGCTCGACAAAGCGGAAACAGCCAGAGAACTTGGGAGCGAGTTTCCGGTCGCGTGCACATTTACGTACCTACACCAGGTCCCCTAATTTATATTGATGTTGGGGACCGGCGTTCCCATTTCGGGCCTCATAGCTACGGACTTGCCTCTCGTGGGCTAGATCAGTCATTTTTTGTCTCTTTCGGGCTAGCTTCGGGATGGCCCTTTCCATCAAATCGGCGTACCTTTTGGTCTTGGTCTTAAGGGCGGCATGCGTGTCTCTACCCCCTGCTTCGGCAATTTCCGAGTTGCCCCGATAATCGACACATGGGAGGCTATTGGTGCAAAGCTGAGAGGGGGTGAACCCCGTGGATTCGTGAGGGGTGGCCCGGTGAATTCCGACGATTTGGTATACGATCTCGGGCCACGGACGCGTGTCATGCGCCACTAGATTTCTACGAAGGGCAGTCTTTATCATGCGATTGGCATTTTCGACCAACCCATTCGACTGGGAAACATGGGGTGTTGTGTGTTGACGTGTAATGCCTCGGCGCGCGAGCAATTTCTCTACCTCGCCTTTAAATTCGGACCCGTTGTCGGTTAGAATCTCTACCATATCTAGATGGGTATAGAGGAACCGATCGATGTATGTGGCTATCTCTGTAGCCTTATGGGTCTTGCAGGGGTAGACCTCGATGTATTTGGAAAAATGATCTATTAAAACTAAAAGGATGGAATATTCGCAACGGTTTGGGCCAGGTGGCACGTCGATATCTGTCGTGTCCATATTGACTCGGTGGAAATGGCGCTCGTCTTCCGTCGGTACTATCATGTTGGGTCCCCGTATTGGGGCACGATCGGCGGCACAAACCAGACAGTTGGCAACCACATATCTGACATCGTCCCGTATATTAGACCAAAACCATCGATTCTGATATATAGTTGCTTCAGTGACACTTATCGCGAAGTGAGCGGCCTGCTCTTCGTGAGCAGATCGGGTCCAATCATATCTCTGGAATGGATGGGGAACCGTCAACCACAAACCCGATCCGTCAGTTTTACGCTTTTCCAGGTGACCGTTGATGCATTGGTAATCTCGGGATCTCTTGGTAGCCCGAGGTCTGTCGTGCTTAGTGAGATGATCCAATGGTAAACCAGCCAATTTAGATAATAGAATTTTATCCGTCCAGACCTCCGCTCGTCGGTATTTCTCGTCATATTCAGGGCCGTCCGTTCGGGCAACCTCGAATCGAACCTCGGTGGGGAGTTTGTCCGTTCTACACAGAGGGCACTTTCATTCCTTACTACTCGTTCGGTATCGAACGCATGCACCGTGCGCACGATTGACACACGTGGCACAGTCCACCCAATCAACGAATCTAGTCTCAAAAGGATGACAGTCCACCCCATAAACTTGTGTAATACACGTACAAAAATAGCAGAATTTATCAGGAAGGGTAGCGAAGAAGGCCGAGGAGGTGAGAGGGGCGGAATCAGCAGGGAAAGAAGGGGTCGCAGAGACAGGTGGGGTAGCCATGATGAGAGGGGAGGAGAGAGAGAGAGAGAGAGAGAGAGAGAGAGAGAGAGAGAGAGAGAGAGAGCAGGGCTGAAGAGAGGGCAGAGCAAAGGCCCGGTGTCACTCACTCCTTCGACAGAATTTCCACTTGCCCGTACCACGGTCCGTTCTCATCCTTCGCCTCGTTCCACGGAATCACCTCCTCGCTCTTGGGGACCTTCTCGGGTCGGTGCAGTCGTGTCAACCCGTCAGCATTCCCGTGCCTCTCGTGCTTCCAATGACGAATGTCAAAGTCCATGCTCTGCAACACAGTCGCCCATCACCCAATCATGCACGAGTAATCCTTAGATTTCTTCAAGGCTAATAATGGCTCATGATCGGTCACCAGCGTGAACTTCCGCCCATACAGATAGGCTCGAAAGTGATTGATTCCCCACAGAGCCGCATAGCATTCTCCTGTTGGGGCGGCGTAATTGTGCTTGCAGGCAGGCACTGACTTAGACGCGTATTCCACCACGTATTCGAGCCCGCTCGGTCCCACCTGGGCCAAGATCGTTGAAATCGCCTCCGGCTGCCAGTCCGTGATGAGGACAAAAGGTTTTTCGGGATCCGGCCTTATAAGGACCGGGGTCGAAATAAAAGTTGCCTTGAGTTTCGAAAATGCTTGATCACACTCCCGCGTCCAAATCAACGCAATCATCTAGGATTCAGCAGGGCTAATTATCTTGGTCTCTTTAATTTCGACGTCAGTTTCCGAATCAGTCGTAGTTTCTTCCACGGTTAGTCTTATTAAATCCACAATTTCCTGCATTAGATCGGGCACATCGTCGACGGGAGTTTTGGCTTCTCGTTTTATCAGAGCGATGGTCGCTCCTATTGTAAGCAGCGACCTTGGAGGGAAAACAGAAACATCCAGGTATTGTTTCACCTGTTGATAACGCGCTCGGAGGGAAAGTGTTCCCTCGTACAAAGTGCGAGGGGGTTCCAAATCGCCTGATAGGTCAGATATTTGCAAGATGGGTTCCCCGAGAAAGGTCGAGGAACTGACTTGGGCTTCTATAGGCGCGAGCATGTTATCTTCCGGACTCAAGTGGAAAGTTCGTGTGGTTCTGGGAACCATCCGAAATTCCTCTTGAGTTTCGTGCTCGAGAAGTTCGACTAAGTGTTTCCACTCACCCTCACTAGGCATCTCTTCTTCGCACTCCTGCTCTTCAAATCCGCCACTATTATCCGAAGATGGAAATTCCTCGTGATCGGGACCTTGAATCATCCCTATCCGAGCAGAATCAGGATTCCTTTTACTGCTCAGGTGAAAATCCACAACGGAACTGTCTGAGGCTTTCCACATGTTTGCGTAAGCACCAACTGCTTGGAATCGAAATGCATGCGGGCACCTACCGCCATCGCCCAAGGCAGTCCCAACAACACCGAATATGAGTGCGCATCTATGACCAAGGAGTTAACGAGGACGTGCACTCGTCCAACTTTCACGGCCACATTCTCAATGACTCCTACGATATTCATTGCTTCCTCATCAGCAGAGACGTAGTTGTCTTTGCCAGATTGAGGGAGAATCGAGTTGAGTCGTCCCGTTCTTCTCACCGTATCTAATGATATAGCGACCGCGGAGGACCCAGTATCGATGAGGGCGTTAAAAGGTTTGCCCCATACTTCACAATCGCATTCAACACTTTTCCACAACACTGGTCGAGCTCGCACAAAATGATATTTCTCAGCTAAAGAAATCGTAGCTACTCGTGTGGCTTCGGGTTCATCAACTTCGGGTTCAGGCGGTGCAACACCCTCTGCTTCTTCCTCCTTCTTCTTTTTCAACATTCGTTGTATGCGCTGGTATGTAAAGCGCTTTTGATTCTTCTGACATTGTTGTAGCAGCTTGTCATTTGCAGCTTCGGATATGGTGAGCAAATGTCCCACTGGGACCGGAACGCGAATGTCCAGTTGCTTAAGCGTTCGTAGCACATCAATTTCTCCCGTCCGAAACTGTGGTCCGGGGTTAGATTCGCGCTTGACCCATTCAAGATCGTCATGAGCCGGTCGGATTGTTCTGACCATGCTGGCGAGATGAAGGTATTCGGCCGGGTCAACCACGTCAGCGGCTTCGGAAGGAGAAGTCCCCGAGGTCGATGCAACTGCAATTGAGGGAGAAGGTCGCTCAGGGGCGTAAGCGATGGTCTCCTCATCTCGGGCTGTATCCATTAGTGCAGTTACTCGTCCTTGATTCAAAGCTACGGGGGTTGCGGCAGGTGGGGGCTGATTTCGTTTTGGTTGCGGACAGTCCCGGGCGAAATGCCTGGGCTGTTTGCAATTGTAACACTCAATCCTCCCTGCCAAGTTAGCTGCATGAGGGAACTGCGGTGCATGTCCAGGTGTAGGCGGGGCGGGCAAAAGCGGGAACGATGCAGGGGCAGGTCGAGCAGGAGCCGGGTTGGGCGTAATCAGCCTGCTCATAATCTGTTCCATTCGATCCATGTGAGCCGCCTGCATTTGGACCAGATTGCTCATCCATTCAGATTGCTTGGTAGTAGTTCTATGGATCATCTCTGCCAAGTGCATATTTGTTATGGACATAGAGGCAGGATCTTGGGAGCTTCAGGGGTTAACAGCTGCTACCTGTTGGTTCATTGAGAGAGTCGGAGAAGGGGGAGAAGGAGCTGGCGGGATATCAGAGGCGAACCCTTCAGGAAGGTCATGATCAGGCCGGGGATAGAATCGTCCTACCGCTCGTAACCACGATCGTCGTTTCGCAGCTACATCTTGAATTGTGTCTGTAATGTCTTTGTCTCCCTGACTGATATACTTCTTTGTATCCGTCAGGTCTAACTCAAGCACTTTGGCGATGATAGCGAATAACTGGTTCGTTTTAGGGGGAGCCTTTTTCTGCAGCTTAGCTTTTAGCGTCGGATTTCGTAGATGATCGATGAACAAGTCTCGGGCGGAATTTTCATCTCGCCTTGATTTGTCCAACATGGTTTGGAATCGATCCACGAAGTCAGGCAACAATTCCCCTGGTTCTTGCGGTTGAGTTTTGAGAACATACCAAGCAGCGTCTTCGCTGACCGTATCAAATCTGGCCAAAAACGCTCGCTTGAAGGTATTCCAATCTACCCATTTGTGTTTCCTAAACCAATTATGTGCCGTGTTGCGAAGCAGCAAGGTGATGACGCGGGGGAGATCTTCCACGCTATAACCTTGAGCGTGGACGACTTCTAACCAAGCTTCGGGGTGGGTGTGATTAGGAAAGAAAGGAAAAACAGCGGAAATACTAACAATCACCCTGGGGGGTGTTGCGTTGCCGTCGGCCATTGGCATAGCTGGTCTAGCCTCGCCAAATCTTGATCTAGTCACCGACGATCTCGGCGAGCAAGTTAAGGACTTCTTCTACCTCTCGCTCAGAACCTACACGAGTCGGCTCCGATACCAACCTCATGCCCTGTGTTGTCTTCGGTTCGGAGCGCTAAGGGTGCGGAAAGAAGGCCCAGGAAAACAACAAGATGGGGTGTGCCAAGGATTTTTGGAAAATTGAGTGTAGGGACACAGACAGAACTGAAATCCCCCGTGTTGGCCGATGAAGTAAGTCGGTTGCTTTCGCGCGTTACGAAATGCACGTGAGGGCACGACGCGAAAAAAGAAAAATCCAAATTCAATCCAAAAAGTATTGCCGAACTTCCCACCGCGCGATGACTCTTCGTTTATAGCGAAAGGGCTTCGGTACACTCCGCCTGTCCCGTTTCCGTATCAAGTCCCGATGTCTCTCATTGGTCAGTTCCGAGTCCGACATAGAGGGTCTCAGTCGCATGGCTCTTTCCTCGTGCTTGTCTTCACTCCGTATTCGGTAGTGGAAGTCCTTTGATTCGTAGCGGTCGAAACGTTGGCACTCAGTGCACAGGGTTCGAGGCCAATGGGGTGCCACTGCCGTCCACGGAATGACGATCAGCTCGTTAAATGTCAACAATACTGAGTAAGGCGGGAAGTGCGTATCGACAATGACAAAGCCCGCGTCCACGGGAGGGAAGTAATATCGTCCGCCGATCCGTGCGACAGCTTCTCGTACGTCCCACTCGCAAACACGTGTTCTTTCCTCGTTGTAAGGGAAGGGGCGCGTTGGCGAAGGAGACACGGGAGGCTGGCGCCCAATCGAGGTGCCCCCATCAGTCCACATGTCAATCAATCGAAATGAGTTTGCAAAAAACCCGAGACGTCATCAAAAAGCACAATCGTAAAAACCAACTAATATTTTCCTTCCTTTCGACACGAGAGAAGCATTTTACAGAGCTCGTACAACCATGCAGTAATCGGGTTGGAGTTTCGAGGGACCAACCCGTGACTCAGGTTCAGCAGGCGAGATCGACGTAAATCCGAGGCACCTTGCTCTTTCGAGGCTGCCCCGCAGACTGGCTGCAGATGTCGTGCAGTATAAGGCAGATGGCATACGCAGTGCATTCAGAACGATAGATCTAAACACTCTTGCGTTCTCGAACAAGATCCCACCGAGCTCTAGGTCTAACCAAAACAAAATTCACATACAAGCATTTTCCTTTCTATGCATACATCCACTATGGAAGGTGCGAAAATGACAATTGTGCATCAACTCCTTCCACAAATCAGAAACAAATCGGGGGATAGTACACACGCATCCACCGTTCACAAAACAAGATGATTGAGTTCCTTTGCATCCGGGGATTACCCAGGAAACTAGTGGAAGAGTTCCGGAAGAAGTTCTTCTGCGCAGGAAATCACAAGGATTCACTTCTGTTCATAGGAGAGACAGACTCACAACACATCGTCATTCAGATCAGAGAGAGAAAGGGGAGAGATGGACGAGAAATGTCGAGACAGGAGACACTGGGATCCGAAAAGAGAACGTTCGGCTTCGCAGCCGTGAACTCACACCAAAGGAAAATGATCTGCAATAGTGAAGGCGCATTCGTCGTGAAATTCTAATATGGCCCTGGGCCAATCATCCACTCAACTCCAATTACCGATCCTCATACCCGCACCGACGATCCCGGTCGTCGCGTGCTAACTTCCGCCACCACGATAGCCACCCTGCTGATGCAAGCTTGACACGGCTCGCCCGGATCCCACAGTCCATCGTGGTGATCAAGCGCGCAACCGACCAGCCTACAGTCAGCCCGTCAGGACTTTTCGACTCGCACCAAACGCATCACCTAGCCACTGCTTCCCGGAAGCTAGCTTGGGAGTTGAAAGCGTAAGAGAGATTTGCGGGCGCGCTTGCGGAATTTATAGTTGCGAGAAGGAAGACAGAAGGAAGAGAAGGCGGAGGGGAAATCGAGGTGTAGGAGGAGAAGATTCAGCGGGGGGCGGTCAAGGGAAGCCATGTTGATCCTTCAAAACCCAATGTTCAGCCAATCAGATTCGTCGCGCAATAGGAAGATCCTCTTACTCAATGCGTCTGGTTGGTGAGCGGGGGTAATCGAAGGATCAACAGGGTTTCGTGAGCCAAGGTTGAAGAGCGAGAAGGAAAGAGGTGCGAGAAGCAGCGCGAGACGGGTCCAAGATTCAGATAATCAAGAAAGGAAAACAGGCGCGCAAAGAGCAAAGAGAGGGAAATCAGTTGCGATAGGAGAAGAAGAGGAGGGGGAAGGGAGGGAGAAGAGAGCACGGGGGAAGAATGACGCGGGAAATAAGGAGGAGGAAGCTTGTATGCGCGGCGCCGACAACAAGAGAAAAAGGCACCAAAACAGTTACAGCTTGCCTATGTCCTAAACCAATTCAAAAATTGAAATCGCCATATCCGCACGCGAAAGTCGACACAGGAAAAGAAAGTCCTATGCCTATCCGTATTCTCACAAAATTCTTAGAGATTTCTCCGACGCGACCGAGAACATTCATGCACAAAAAGAAAGGACGCGTTGGGTTCCGCTTATTCCGGAATTCCTAACTGTTGAGCCCGATTCCTAGTGCGCTCGCTAAGGCGCACGCAATTTCCCATGCATTTCCCGAATTACAAAAACCAGGATTCCAAGAATCAATAGAACCTCCGAAAAATGAAGGCCCAAACAAGGCACCTGAAATCAAGGAAAGCGACGGGGGCTTTGTTGATCCAGTATGATACAAAAGAAGGAATTGAGTCAAGGGGTACGAAAGATAGCACGGGGTCGGGATGTGGTTCGTCACATGTCTGCAAAAGCGCTGGGAGACCCTGTCAAGATGTAACCCCACCGTCTGCAGATCCTTCCACACCCCTCCACCGCGTTCCAGCACCCATAGCCTCCGCCTCACATCCAAGCGATTGCCAATTGAGTGTATGGCATCGCTCATGAGCGACAGGCTGTGCATGACAGTGCCCACAAGAACCAGCAGTGCAGTCGACACAAGTGCCGCACACATGGGGAGGGCCGCTGCAGCCTCGAGGATGGCCATAGCTGCCGCATTCCTCCGGTTCATCCACTGGACGATGATGAAGACGATGGTGACTATGGCATCCCAGTCGTCATGTGTGAACAACGGTGATAGGGCATCCATGGCGTGCGCGGTAATGTAAACAGCGGTCTCCTACAACATCCTCGTCACACGTGTTCATCCACCACTTCTCCACGATGGCAGATATTCCGTCCTCTACACCACAAGCAAGGGATGGAGGGAGCACTCCCCCTGCCACTGGCACCACTAACTGCTTCCAAACACAGGGTTGGTAATGACAGAATCGAACAGAGAAAACAGTGGTCCCCCCTGAACG